ATGGTGAAAAGCTGAAAGCTATTTCTCTAAGAACAGGAACCAGACAAAGATGCCTACTATCACCACTTTTATTCAACATAGTATTGGAAGTCCTAGTCAGTGTAATTAGGCAAGAAAAAGAAACAAAAGGAATCCAAATTGGAAAGGAAGAAGTAAAACTGTCAATATTTGCAGATGACATATGTAGAAAACCCTAAAAATCCCATCAAAAAACTGTTAGAATAAATTTAGTAAAGTTGCAGAATACAAAATCAATATACAAAAATCTGCTGTGTTTCTATATACTAATGATGAACTATCAGAGAGAGAAATTAAGAGAACAATCCAATTTACAATTTCATCAAAAAGGGTGAAATACCTAGAAGTAAATTTAACCAGAGGTGAAACACTTGTACACTGAAAACTGTAAAACATTAATAAAAGAAACTAAAGAAGATACAAATAAAAGGAAAAAAATTCTGTGCTCATAAACTGGAAGAATATTGTTAAATTGTCCAAATACCATACGATCTCGCTTATATGGAATCTTAGAAACAAAACAAACAAAAAAACATGAGCTCACAGATACAGCACAGACTGGTGACTGTCTAAAGCAGGGGTTGGAGATGAGCAAAATGGGTAAAGGAGGTCAAAAGGCGCAAACTTCCAGTTTTAAAATAAATAAGTCATGGGATGTAATGTATAGCATGGTGACTATAGTTAATAACACTGTATTGCATATTTGAAAGTTACTAAGAGATCTTAAAAGTTCTCATTGCAAGAAAAAAGTTAACTGTATGGTGATGAATGGTAGACTGATTGTGATCATTTCACAATTCATACAAATATTGAATTATGTTACACACCTAAAACTAATATATTATATGTCAATTACAGCAGCCCTCTAACAACATCATTTTGTTCCATGTAGTTTTCTTACAATGCTGATGAGATGCTGTAGGAACTTAATTTTTGTTTTTATCAATTAGCCTATGGTAAAATTGGGTTTGTTACATGTCGTTTCACTTAAACAAGCAGAACCTATTAACGACGTTAAGTGAGGACTTACAGTATCCCTCAATAAAAAATAAAATTATACATGGACACAACCTTTCTCCCAGCAATCCTACTTAGAGGAATTGACCATATAGAAATATTCTCACATGTGCTAAATTAAGCAAGTAGAGGTTATTTACTGCAGCAAGCATGAAATGGGACATCATTTTACCACTCAAGAAGAAGCTCTATGTGTCCACATGGAACCACCTTCAAAAGACATTGTTAAGAAAAAAGAGTAAGCTGCAGGAAGTGTGGGCAGAATGTTGACATGCATTTAAAAATATGCTGTATGTATTCACGCACATGCTTGTAGGTGTATATGCAGAGCCTGTATCTGAAAGAATAAATAAGTAATACGGTTAACGGTGACTACCTCTTGAGAGGAACTTGGAGAAGAGGAGGAAGGGAAACTCATCTTTTATCTTATACCCTGTTTTGTGTGATTTTGTTACTGTGTGCACGTATTACTCATTCAACACAAACAAACAGCTCCTATGAGTACCTGAGAGGGGCCACTAGAACATCAGAGTGAGAAAGGGAACATCAGATGAATGTGGATGTGGAAAGGACAGAGAACAGGTACCGGCAGCTCAAAGAATGTATAGGAATAAAGAGCTGGTAGAAGAAAGAAGCAGACAAAGATGGATGCTCTAAGAGTTCAAGATCCCTTCCCCAAAAGACTAAAATAAAGATTTCAAACTTTTAAAAAATATATAAACAGCAGAAGTCCTTTCTAGTAAAATGTGAAACCTCAATATATAAAGTAGATAAAAGAAGTATTTTATAATACAAATGTTATTTCATAAGCCAAAATTTAAACATTCCCTTATGTCAAACAATGAATACAACAATGATCTCCTGAAACACATAAAGTTGAAATGGGAATATGAAAGAATATCTCAGGAAACCCTTAAAATAGCAGAGATGGCAAGAAAAGCTTTATACCAAGGTCTGCCCCAAAGAGAACAAAGATGGCAGTACAAGTGAGTGCACTGGTGATATCTAGTGTGTCAAATTTGGTGTATGACACGTGCAAGTGTGTTTTTCTTTTAATTTTAATTGCTTTGAAGGATGGGTTAAAAAATAAAATTTGAACCTAATGTTTGCAATCTGGGAAGTACTAAAGAACCACATTTGAAAATACTGATCTGGAAAGATGTGCATATGATGAAAATCTGTGAGATTTACTGAGAAACTACTTTGTAGTTGGATGGCTTAGATTACACCTCATTCTCAGACAAGCAGTGCTCTCTAAAGCTCTTCTTAGTCCCCTATTTCCTCCCACAGTTCCCACCTTAGACCACTGTCTCCCAAAAACAACAGCTCTGAATCCCAGCCACAAGGCTACCTCCCACATTCTGAGGACTGCCACCCTTCCTACTTGGCTCCAAAGCCCTTTTGCAGCCATTAGGATAACATGATACTGATGAACAAGTCTATGCTTCAGCTCACCCTCCCCTGGACTGCATAACTAGATATGCTGGTCTTATGTTGACGGCCATACCTTAATTATTACTATTATTAAAAACAGTAATATAAATCCTAGAATGAGAAAATATAACTATAAAAAACTTAACTGGGACAACTGATGACATGTTAGAATATGGACTAAATTAGGTAATGGCATGCAATAGTAAACTTCCTGATTTGGATAACGTATTGTGATTATGTTAAGAGAATGTCATTGTTCTTAGGAAATACATACTGAAGTATCCAGGGCAAAGAAGTGTGATGTCTCCTATTTTCAAATAACTTAAAAAATATATACATACACACACTCAGAAAGTTACCTCAAACGATTGGTAAAATATGGATAAAGGGTATGGTAAAGGGTATACAGAATTTCCATGTACTATTTTCTGCTAAGTTTAAAATTATAAAAATAAAACATTAAAAAATTATAACACGCTTGCAACATTTACTGATGTTTGCTTCCCATAAGATTACAGAAATTGTCTCATTTAATCCTTTTAAAATCCTATAGAATAAGTACTATTTTTATTGCTATTTTACAGCCGATACATACAGGTTATAGAAACTTTCCCCAGGGTCATATAGCCGAGTGGAGACAAGATCTGACCCCAGGTCTGTTCCATTTAGAGCTAAACCTCCTAAATGCTGCCAAACATATCATCCTTATTGTATAATCTTTCCCTCCCAACCTTATCAGAGAAGCCTCTATTTGGGTTCCCAGCACTGTTATTCATTAAAACATCATAGCACTTATTCTCTTCTCAGGCCTCAGGGCATGGGAGAGTCTTCACTGAAATCAGGGCTAGAAATGAAAACTTCATTGGAGCCATCGGCACCAACATCAAGAACCTAGAAATTGTACTGTAACCTTAATTTTCCTTTTAAAAAACCAAACCTTGAAATATAGTCAGCTTAGCTGCACTTTGGTATGTCTAATTTTATTCACAATGAAAAGATTTTCAACTATACTTACAAGTTTTACATATAAAACTTGTGCTAACCTGTTATCTTCCCTAAAAGACTGAAAGCTCAATGCCAAGGATCTATTCTATGAGAATATCTGTTCAAGGGACCTTTCTGCACTCCAGCCAGGACAGCAGTGTCACCATGGGCCAAGCACCAGGCAGTGGGGATAGTCTCACTATATCGAATGAGATGCTAGAAAGGCCCTTAGGAAAACAGAAAGAATTTTCTTAGACCAATACAGGGAAAATGTATACCCTCTTGAAATACACACTAGCTGCTGACAGAGTCTCCTAGGGGAACTGTTTATGTTCTCATCTGCCCTCAGATGGATGTGAAATCACAACGTAACAGCCATGGTTAAATACACTAGCTCCTTTCCCAGCCAGAATTATGCAGGCAGGATCTTAACATTTACTACGTGAAAGTATAAAGGACCTGTTTTGAAGCCATAATCAACAAATAAGAACGAAGTGAAAGAGAAAAATAAAACAATGTCCAGTTATTACTTCTAAATTTCCAAACACTCAGATATGTGTTTCCTACTTTGTGTAAAGTTAAAACAATGTAAGTATATAAACTCCTGTAAAATATTATGCAATACAAATATAATGCAAATACAATTTTTAATATTTCATTTTACTTTTTAGAACTCTTCTATGGTTAGTTCATAATAGATAGTCCATAAAATCACTTTTAAAAGTGGGTAAACACTATAGAAATTATCCAGTTACTCTATAATACTGTTCACTTGTACTGAGCTTGCTATAAACTGTGAAAGCAACCCTTTTACTTATTCTCTCATGTTATATAATTAATTTTTTTTCTACCATTCATCTTTGTTCATGTTTGTTTATTTTTTTCCTATTTGGCCTTTTGATTCAGCTGGTTGAGATAACTACGAATCTTTAATGTGAGTTTGTTGATCCTGATTTAAATACCCATACCTTCTCTTTGTTCATCAGGCCAGAGGCTGGTTCAGAGCCTTGGGGAAGACTAAACTTCCCATAAATGAATATTAATTAGTTAATAACAACAAAATACTAGTAATAATAGTTACTATATAGAGATAATTAGTACATACTAAAATTACTATGGGCCAGGCACTGTTCTAGAACAGCACTTTATAAGCAATATCCCGCTGAGTCCTCACAATAATCCTATGAAGTAAGTATTACTATTACATACATTTTCTAAATGAAACAAGTCAGGCATTGAAAAGATCATCTTCCAGGGTCAAAAAAGCTATAAAGAAGGACACTGTATTTGACTTCAAGTGGGGGCCCATACTCTTCACTACTAGGACATACTGCCTTTCAGTATGTAACAAAACGGCACTTCATTCCAATAGTTTGAAACAATAGTTTAAAATTTTATATTAAAAGTTAGTTCAATAAATGTAAACTTTCTTATTTTATTTTTTAAAGGATAAATGATGTTGTACTGTATTTGATGCCCAAGAAGCACAACTCTTTATTGAAACCCTTAGGCAGGTGGCTGGTACCAAGTGGGACTGGTGCAGGTACCTGAATGCGCTGAGGTGAGGCTACCGCAGAGTCGGTGGAGATTATCTGGATACGTGGGGAGGGGCTGGTCATCCCTGGAGATTCCGGCCGAGAGATCTGTGTACGTGGTACCTGTGGGAGAAAAGTGGCTGGGTCACAAGGGGGCTCAGAAAGATGCCCAATGGTGGCTTGAGGACTGTGCCTCTGGCTTTCACTGTGGCTTTGAGTGATAAATTATTGTAGTTCTAGAGTGTGAACCCAGGATGACAAAGGAATCAATAAGATATTGATACAGGATGGCATGAAAAAAACATAATCATAAAATAGCTGTTTCTAATGTATATAATGCAAGGAAAAAAAAACACAAAGGAATTTTCAGGTCTGCTCTGCACAATTTCAATAAAATAAAAAGCTACTACCAAAATATCTTTTTAGAGATGATCTTTGAATTCTTTCATCTCCAAAGCCAGCTGTTAAAACACTCCTTTAAGATGACAGTTTCCAAAAGGAATGGTCTAACAACACTGCAGAAGACAGCAAACAGAACCAGCATTACACCGAAAACTATTAGGATTAGTACTTGTAAAAGAGTCCTGGCAATCTCCCAGCCCCACTGGGATAGGGCTGGGAAAAACCCATCAGTAATGCAAGGGTCTGGAATTGAGTCAACACCTACCCCTGCCAAAGTAAGGCTCAAAGTTCTGAGTAGTCACCTGGGCACCTGAAATAGGCAGATATTTTTTCTGGAATAAAAGCATATTACTTACCAATGTTTTACAAACTCTTCCAAAAAACAGAAGAGGAGAGAACACTTCCTAATTCATTCTATGATGCCAATATTACCTGATACCAAAATAAGACAAAGATATCACAAGAAAACTATGGACCAATATTCCTTATGAATATAGGTGTAACGATCCTCAACAAAACAGCAGCAAACCAAATACAGAAGCTTATTAAGGATTATACACCATAACTAAGTGGGATTTATTTCAGGAATGTGAAGCTGATTCAACGTATGAATTAAACAATGTAATACACCACATTAAAAGAATTGAGGGGAAAAGCCACATGATCATTTCAATTGACACAGAAAAAGTATCTGACAAAATCCAACACCTTTTCATGGTAAAAACACTCAACAAACTAGGAATAGAAGTTCTTGACCTGATAAAGAGTAGGCTTGGAGGATAAACTGTGGTTAATTTTGGTCAATTTCAGCTCTTAGAACAGTAGCAGTTTACCCATCCTCCACCTCCACCCTGAAGCAAGCAGCTGTGCACTGTGTTCCTGCAGCAGCAGCCTGCACACAGCTGCGAGAGCCAGGGTGGGCAAAAAGGACCCTTTTCCTCCAGATATTGGGGATCAGTGCTCCAATCAATGATTGCTGTTTCTGATCAGAGGTGCAGACAGAGAGGAGGAGACCACTGTTTTTGTACTTCCTCTTACTGTTGCAAGTCCCCTCATCTTTGGGTGAAGTAACTTCCAGGGCACTTAAAGGGCTGGGTTGTTTTTCCCCATTTTTCTCCTTTTCTTCTTTTGGGAAACAGACATCAAAGACTAGGACTTTCAAAAGCAACTGTGTATACAGGGAAAATTAGAAAGTGACTGCACATACACAGGGAAAAACACAGGTGTGAAATGACCTCAGAGGACCTTAAGTTTACATGTCAGGATGATCTTTGGCATGGAGACAGCCAACGATAACAACAAAATAGTAACAAAACCCAGCAAATCCTGGGAAAAGGAGAGACTGATTTCCAGAGTTACCTTATTATTAGATTGAAATGTCCAGTTTTTAACAAAAAAATCACAAACCATACAAAGAAAGAGGAAATTATGGCTCATTAAAAGGAAAAAATAAATCAACAGAAATTATCCCTGAAAAACATATGTCAGATCTACTAGACAAAGACTCACTCACTCACTCACTCACTCACTCACTCACTCACTCACTCACTCTATCTATCTATCTATCTATCTATCTATCTATCTATCTATCTATCTATCTATCTATCTATCTATCTATCTATCTTTAACACCTACAGCACCTGGTACTCCTAGGTGGTCTCCCATCCAAGTACTAACCAGGCCCGACCCTATGCTTAGCTTCCGAGATCAGACAAGATCAGGCACGTTCAAGGTGGCATGTAGACGACAAAGATTTTAAAACAACTTGTCTAAAACATACTCAAAAAACTAAAGAAAGATATGAAAAAGAAACTAATGTATGAACAAAATGGAAACTTTAACAAACACCTAAAAAGAAACAAAAAAGAAATTCTGGGGCTAAATAGTAAAATAACTGAAATGAAAAATTCACTAGAGGCATTTAAAAGTAGACTGAAATAACCAGAAGAACCTGCAGACTTGAAGACAGAACAATAGAAATTATGAAGTCTGAGGAACAGAAAGAAAAAGACTGAGAAAAAGTGACCAGCGCCAAAAGAGCCTGTAGGACACCAACAAGTGAAGAAACATATGCACTGAGGGAATCTGGAAGAAGACAGAAAGAGGCAGAGCAAATATTTGAAGAAATAATAGCTAAAGAATCCCCAAATTTGAAGAAAGACATGAATAAAAACAACCAAGAAGCTCAATGAAGTCCAAGTAAGAGAAAGTCAAAAGACGCATTATTATCTAACTTAAAAAAAAAAAAAAAAGACTAAGAAAGACCTCTGGAATATCGCAAAAGAGCATCATCACATTCAAGGGATCAATTAGATAATTTACAGATTTCTCATCAAAAACTTGAGGGAGGCCAGAAGACTGTGGAATGATATATTCTAAGTGCTCAAAGAAAAAAAAACAACTGCCAACCAAGACTCCAATACCTGGCAAAACTGTCCTTCAAAAGAGAGAAATCAAGACATTCCCAGATAAACAAAAGCTGAGTTCATGATCACTAGCTTTGCCCTGCAAAAAATGCTCAAGGGAGTCCTGCAAGGTGAAATGAAAGGACTCTAGACAGTAATTCAAAGCTGATCAGAGAAATAAAAGATCTCAATAAAGGAAAATACACAGGCAAATACAAAAGCTAGTATTACTGTAATGATGGTTTGGAACTGTATTTTTTGTTTTTTTATATGATTTAAGAGACTAATACAGTTAAAGAAAAAAACGATTATTAGTGTAAAAGCTAGTATTATTATTGCAACTTTGATTTAAAACTCTCAAATCTTGTTTTCTACATAATTTAGTAGACTAATGCATTTAAAAAAACTATTACATTATGTTTTGGGCACACAATGTATAAAGATGTAAATTTTGTGACATTAACAACCAAAAGAGGTGGAGACAGATGTATAAAGGAGAAAAGGTCTATGGCCATGCCACCCTGACTATGCCAGATCGCGTCTGATCTCAGAAGCTAAGCAGAGTCAGGCCTGGTTAGTACTTGGATGGGAGACCACCTAGGAATACCAGGCACTGTAGGCGTTTAAAAATAAAAAAAAAATAAAGGAGAAAAGTTTTTGTATGTCACTTAAGTTAAACTGGCATAAATTCAAACAGCGTTAGAACTTTAGGAAGTTATATGTAATTCCCATGGTAACCTCAAAGAAAATAGCTGTGGAATACATAAACGGAAATGAGAAAAAAATTTCAACATTTCACTACAAAAAAAAATAAACTAAACACAAAAGACAGGAATGCAGGAAATGAGGGACAAAAAAGCTGTAAGGCATATATAAAACAAACAACAAAATGATAGAAGTCCCTCCTTAACAGTAGTTACTTTAAAGTTTCCATCAAAAGAGATATTGGTGGAATATACAGAAACTCATATCCAACTATACGCTGTTTACAACAGATTCACTTTAGAATCAAAGACACAAATAGATTGAAAATGAAAGAAAGGAAAAAGATATTCCATGAAAGTAACAACCAAAAGGGAGCAGCAGTGGCTGTACTATTAAATAAAATGGACTTTAAATTTTAAGCTGTTATAAGAGACAAAAAAAAGACATTATATATTAATAAAATGTTCAACACAGCAAGAAGATATAACAATTATAACATTCATACAACTAATAATAGACCAGAAAAATATGTGAAGCAAAAACTGATAGAATTGAAGGGAGAAATACAAGTTCTGCCATAATAGTTTGAGACTTCAATACTACAATCTCAATGATAGCTAGAACAACCAAACAGAAGATATGTAAGGAAATAGAGGACTTACTACACAATAAACCAGCTGGACCTAACACGCCATAACAGAACACTCTACCCAGAAACCACGAATACCCAATCTTCTCAAGTGCACATGGGACATTCTCCAGGATAGATCATATGTCAGGTCAGAAATTAAGTCTCAATAGATTTTAAAAGATACATATATTATACAAAGTATCTTCTCTGACCATAATGGGATCAAATTAGAAATCACTCACAAAAGGAAACTGAAATATTCACAAACTTGTGAAAATTAACAACACATTCTCAAACAACCAATGGATCAAAGAGGAAATCATATGGGAAATTAGGAAAAAATTAGAGATGAATGAAAATGAAACATACCAAAACTTATAGGATAGTGCAAAAGGGGTGAAGGAAGAGATTTATGAGCTATAAATGTTTACATTAAAATAACAAATGAACAACCTAACTTTACAATTTAAAAACTAGAATTAAAAAAAAAACAACCCTGAATCCAAAGCTAACAGAAGGAAATAAGATTATAGCAGAGATAAGGGAAATATTGAAGAATAGAGAAAATCAACAAAACCAAAAGTTCGTTCTTTAAGATCAACAAAATCGACAAACCTTTAGCTAGATGGACTAAGGGGAAAAAAAGAGAGAAGACTCAAATCCCTAAAATCAGAATGAAAGTGAGGACACTACTACTAATTCTACAGACATAAAAAGGATTATAAGAGAATATTATGAACAACTGTATGCTCATCAATTGGATCAACTAGATGAAGGGGACAGATTTCTAGAATCACAAAACCTACCATGACTAAATCATGAAGAGATAGAAAATATGAATAGACCTATTACCAAAGAGACTGATAATAATCAAAGATTTCCCCACAAAGAAAATCCCTGGACCTGATGGCATCATTGGAAGACTAAAGAACACTTCATAATTCATTCTACGAGACAAGCATTACACCCTGATACCAATG